TTCGGAACGAGGTTCGGAACACTGGAACTATTTTAAATACATGCGATTACATTAGCGAAAATCACCACCTTAGCGCCCCTCGGTGGGACTTTGTTTGGGAGCGAGCTGTCAGTTTGTTAGTTTAGTGTCAAACAGTGAAGATATGATTTTGCTTTAAATCTTGATTTAAAAATCGAGATGAAAGTCTATGGGTTAGAAAAAAAATATCGTTGTGCTCAGAAAACGAAGCTCATTGGTGTTCAGCGTACGACCCACCAAAAATGGCGGTAATGTTTTAGAGACGATGATTTACAGTGAGAAATATTTATTGTATTATGCCTGTTCGGCCCAACTCTTACTAGACATAGAATTAAGTGAATTTTGTTACAAACAAAGAACAATGAACTATCGGCTCCGTAAAGCTAACGCGATTGAGCCTCCCAAATAAACGACCTAGTTAAAAAATATTATGCCTGTTTGTCTTTGGTATACTCATAGACTGAGTAAAATGTTCATGGATTTCCCTCATATTCGAGAAGTTTTCCTGGAAAAGCCCGAAATTGGGTTCTTTAGGGGTATTGAGGTAAAAACATATTCGTGATCTGCATTAAAAATGGAACCCAAACCCAAAATTTTAACAATTTGGGTACACTGGAACTATTTTAAATAACTAAGATTACATTTGCAAAAAACACCTTATTAGCGCCCCTTTGTGTCATTTTGTATGGGAGCGAGCTGTCAGTTTGTTAGTTTAGTGTCAAACAGTGAAGTTGTTATTTTGCTTTAAATCTTAATTTAAAAATTGAGATGAAAGTATGTGGGTTCGAAAAAATTATCGCTGTACTCAGAAAACGAAGCTCTTTCGGATGATGTATAAAAAACAATACATTTTTCAAAATTAAAGAACCCAATTCAACTAACTTTTTGGGTAAATCCACTTGGTGAAAAAGCTAACAAAAGTTGTATCGTCTTGGAGAAGACACCTCATGAACCAAAGATAGCAAAACGATTTAGCGTAAAAGCGCTTTTTAACTAGCGTTTCCGCACTTTTCGTGGCACTTACAATGTGCCAAATGCGCTATAATAAAGCTTAATTTCACAACGATTCAGCTTAATGAACTTTTTTGACAGTTTTGCAACAAATAATTATTAATGGGAAAACTCAAACATTCATGGAAATCCATAAACAGGCAGCACTGGTGCCACACATCCAACTCGACATGCAACCTTGCCAAACGATGTCACTCACACCAACGCATACGGAAAAGCTCCGATCGGCGGTGCCAGGCACATATAAAGGGTTCATCGGCAATTGCAAAATGATGAAACCACACGTATTTGTCACTTGAGAATTCAAACACGTAAGCCACACAAAACAAGAAATAAACATCATTAAATTTTAAAATCTTTTGCAAGCGAAATGAATTTCACTTTTCTCAGGACATCGCAAAATTTGTTAATTTTTGCTACACTCTAACTTGAAAGTGCCCATAAATGAGTTAAAAAATATTTCCATTATGAAGAAAAGTCATCTGTTGACGGTACCGTTGAAAAATCGTCTCTTCTAGTAAAAATGTACAGTTTCTTATAGGAATTTGGAAATAGGAAGTGAAAAGATAGTACAAAGGCCGCCATTTTTTCACGTACAATATTATTAGTGATAATTTATTAGCTGGAGAATGATCTTTAGAAGACTGTAGGTGGATAGTTCCGTTAGAGTACGGCAGTATGAAAATTGAATAGAAGTTGAAAATGAGCGAAGGGCCAACCAACTCTGAATCTATGTATGTTTTCATGTAACATCTAAGTTAAAAATTTCAGAGTGTAGGCCTAATAGCGTTGGTAAACAATGACTTCTTGATGATTTCTAGAAATTCCAGGCTTCCGATGGTTAGTTTGGTCTGCGTGGACGTGCCTTGAATTCCTAGAAATCATCGATAGAAGTCATTGTTTACGCAAGCTGTTACGCCCAAGGGGGGAGGTGGCTGTCAAATACGAACAATCGTCGCCTACCTCGCATAACTGGTTCCAAACGTAAACAAGCCATAAGAAACCTACACACTTAAACAGAGACCCTGAGTTCGGTAAATAAAATTACCGTCTTAGATCGGTAATCCTAAAAATTACAGATGTTTCGGTATTTTCTCGCTATATTGCTGAAAACTGTAAATAAAATTACCGAATTTCGGTGATTTCATTTCAATTCAACGAAAACGGCAAAAAAAATACCGGCAGATCTGTAAATCAGCTTAATCACTGACTTCGGTGAAATATTTTACTGAAGTTTCGGTAAACAAAGCGTTCCATTACCAAGTTCGGTAGCTTTCACAGCGAGAAACGTCAAATCCGCCGTAATGTGTTTTCGACCTTTAAAAAAAAAGTGTGTAAGTGGAAAATGTTATGAAAAACAAAAAGTGAAATGATGGAGGCTTTTATGGACCAGCTGCAACGCATAAAGATGAGCAAATCGTAGATATTTTCCGTAAGTAATGGTATTTCGTTATCTAAATAAACACCCATTGTTACAGATGGCCGATTTTTTCTGTCGGTCGCAAGTACCAGGCTATGTTACCGGACTGCACCGACATATCAATGACCATATAAGAAGAGAAATTTTATACCGGCAGCAATTTTTAAACTTTAATACATTGACCACAACTGGAGCCAAATATTTGCATGGATTGCAGTGACCGCCAGCGCTACGAGTAAGTTTTGGGTTTTTAGATTTACGAAAAGCATATCCGTAAGAATAAAATAAAATAAAGGATAAGGAAAAATTATTTAATTCAATTGATAAAACCAAGCAAATACCTTGAAACAATATTTAAGCGAATTACAGTTGAGTCGGTAACCTTTTAAAAAACTACAGATCTTTCGGTAAATTTCATTTTCCATATCGACTTCAAAATTACAGTTCTCCGGTAAAGTCGATTACAAATCATGCTTATTTTTTCGGTAAACGTTACCGATCGTTCGGTAAATTTGACAGCTAATTTTGCTGATTCAGTTTACAGATTTTTCGGTAATGTTCTCGATTACCGAAAACATTACCGACCGTTCAGCTGTTGAGAATTCGGTAAATGAATTACCGAAGTCGGTAATTTTTTCTAAGTGTGTACAGGGTTTGTTTATGTTTGGAACCAATTTCATACAGGAATGATCAGTAGGCTGATTTGACAGCACGTCCCACCCCAGGTTACGCCCTAATTCCTGCGCTATCTAAAATTATTATAATATAATAATTAAGTTAAAAAAGACGATATTATTATAAATTATAAATTTTTCATGTTCAGCATGTTACAGCAGAAAACTGACAGATTACGGCAACACTGGCTTTGACTAAACCAAACGCGGTTTCCTGCTTTATCTTTTAAAAATGGCTTCCACTCACACCACACTGCGAGCAATGAATGTAAACAGGTGAGGCCCAGATAATTTGTCGTCTCTTTCATTCCCCCACTGTTCAAATGGATGGTGGTGTTTGTCGTCACATTCGGTTTACCATTTAAACAGTGGAAGAGCCGAAGACGAGACGACGGATTTACACTGCCACACTTGTTTACACACACACTGTGCGCTCATTGTAGTCGGGTAGCCTTGCTGAGTGGAATTCCCAGGAATTCCACAGACGAATGTCTTCTTTTTTCTTCCAATTCCCCCACCCCTTTGTGCTATATATTGCAGGAAGTTCACTTACCTTGAAGGAGCGCTTTCCACGCTCTGGTCCTAATGTAGACGATGAGAGACGCAAAGGAATTCCATTTTTCGACTGCTTGACAGTGGATACACGACGAAATTTGGGGGCAACTTTCGGAAAATGTTACTTTTCCACACTTTCGACAACGAGAAAAGCATTCAACAAACTCACGACCACACGGCAGCACTTGCGTACACTTCTTTTTCTCGACTGAGAACGACCCAAGCAACGGAGCACTGTGATCAATCGATGTGTGCAAAAGCTCGCTGAAAAGATGTTGTTTTGTTTGCTGAGTGTCGATGAGTGACTGCTGTCATGTCATTTTATTAAACTGGTTTTATTAATTCCAATGAGCTGGATTACCGAGGTGAGCAGTCGGTTAAGTTGTGTGAGTAAAATCCCTGTACGATACATGCATTAGTGACGTCACTAATTGCGTTTACGTTGATTTTTTGGATTACTAAACAACCATATTTCACGATCTGCTTCACCTCTTTCTGTACTCTTTGTATTCATTCCATACCTCATCTATACAAGGTGTGCTGATCTAGGTCTCACGTATGTGTTGGTAGAGGGAAAAATGTCAACTTTGTGGGAGACGATGGTGACGACGTCATAACACTCGAAAGCAAATTTGCACTAGCTTTCATGCTAAAAAATACTGGCTTTTCAGTCAAAAGTTATTATACGTCGTTTGGTGGCCCCATTAGTTACTCAAGTCAAATTGTACTTACCAGAATATTCGGAAGAATTATCAATCACGTGTCCCGATAAATCCATAAGTTCCATACAAAAAATGTGACAAAGGGGGGAGCGGGGGTTGAAAATGGACCAAATTTGCGTGACATATTGCAGTGAAAATGTAAGCCATACTGTTTTCCAATCATTTCTCTAAACTTTTTCATCAAAAAATGGATCATTATGCTTCTTCCAACGTTCCATGAATTTACGAACGTAAACAAACACTGGAAAAGACACGGTTGGGCTTAACGCAAAATGCGTTCTGACAGCGTTTGCTACCAACTGATAGCGATGAATCGATTATTTCAGCTCTACCAACATTAAAAAAAAAACCACTCCGCATCACCCAGGCTGCGCCTTTATCGACTGAACTAAGGGAGGCCCCAACACGACAGGCGTGATACATTTATTACATCACACTCTAAAGGGAGGGGCCCAACCTTAGTGACCAACCAATTTCGATCAACCATAAACCATCACGAAATTATTAACCTAATGGGACGATAAGTTCAGGAGAATAGATCAGCAGGAATGCTTGAATTTTATAAAACTTTTATTTACATGACATCGAATGCAGCCTTTAATCTACATTCTCTGGCGCTTATAACTTTCGCGCATTCTACTTTTTGCCCCAATGCTTATTTTTGAACTTTCCACCCTTATTACCAAACTTCCCGCGCTGGTTCTGATGCTTATGCTGACTTTCATTATGATGTTGCTCTGCTGCATCACCAGATTGCTTACTCTGGTTGCCGCCGTACTTAAGCTTATTGTGGAACTTTCTCGGATTGATACCGAACGCCCGCAGTCGGCTGTCGGTAACATTCGTGGGCGCTTGGTTCGACTCGAAGTGGCTCTTGTGCTTGCGGTCCTTATTGAACGTTTGGTGTTTTATTTTCTTCGAGTGTGGTTTGTTCTCTTCGGATGCAACCTGCTCGGTATCTTCACGTTTACGTTTCTTCGACTTTTGATGCTCCTTTGCAGGTTTTTCTTGCTTTTCAGCCGTCGTGGTTTCTTCGAGTTGTTCAACATGTTCGGTATTCTTACGTTTCTTCTTGGATTTCTTATTTTCTGCACTCGTTTCTGTTGCTTCGACAGTTTCTTCCGTAGCATCCGATTTCTCATCCGATTTCTCATCCTTTATAGAACTTTCATCCACAGTTGGTTTCTTCTTTTTCTTTTTCTTCTTTTTACCTTCCGCTGAGACGGTTTCAGGATTCTCGACCGAATCCTGGTCGTCCAGTTTGGTTATCGTGTTTACCTTTTTCTGCTTGATTTCGTCGTCTTCGTCACTACAATCGGACCAATGGGAATTGAAATTATCTTAAATTCATTATAATATATTAAAAATGTACCTCTTTTCGTCCTGTGGAGTATACAAACTTGGCAGGATTTTCCTTTTGAGTTCTTCATTTTGAGCCTTCCGTTTGTAGACTTCAATTTCACTCAATTCTGAGTATTTCGGTCGAATTTGAACGGTCTTTTTCACGCTAGCCCATCGATTTAGCTCTCGAGTGTTGGCCATCAAAATCTGAAATGAGATTAATTTTTATTTTCTTATTTGTGTTCCAAGTTGACGAGTCAATTTACTCAACACAGAACGTTTCTATGAATTATTTGCGACAGCGTACTATTTTATTTAGGAATATTTGTGCCTATATTCATCATTCATTTCTATAGAGAAATGTTGAGACTACAGATATAATTCGTGACGTCCCAACTAAAAAGCAGTTGATCCATCAGAATAATAACTACTGTGTTACCTGACGCATAACGAATATACGTTGCATCCGCGTTATGTTAGATTAGACGAGATTTACGATGCAACGGATGCAACGTATATTCGTTATGAGTCAGATAGCACAGTAGAAAAAAAAAGGAAGCCGTCTCAACTATTGAATCTTGGAAATTGGGAGGAATCATTGGGGTAACCAATTGAACGGTTTGGAATGGAAGAAAGGATTGCTTAATGTCTTGTTGCTGGATAGGATGAGAGCTCTTCTCCCCACTTCTTGGATAGAAGTAAACTGAACACACTTTACCGAAATTAAAATTTAAAAAGTTATTCTGAGAAAGAATTGATAGGGGAAATGGATGTAATGTCGGCCTAAATGCCTCTAATTTGGACCCATACATAAATTCACCGATCGACTAAATTTTCAATAGCGACCAAAAATATCCATTAGTACCGTCCCAATGATGTGTTCATCTAGATAAAATTGATAAATAGCAGATTTTAAGCGATGGGCCCAATCTTAGATCCATAGGCCAACATTAGAGCCACTATCCCTAATATTTATGCATTCATATAACCAGTTTTCAGCAAAATCTTATACATTCATTGGGCCATCTTAATCTCACGCTTAAGATTCTCATGCATTTACACGCACTCACACTCACAGCGCCAAAAAACCATTCTTAAAAGCCGCTGAAACGTCTAACACTTCCCAACAAACAATCGCCTGTTGAAGAAACTGCATGCTTAATAATACTTGTACAATTTTTAATAATAACTTCTGTTCAGATAGTGGTATAAGAGTTATTATGCTGACTGTATTCACCTTTATTCAGTAATATTTGAAAGCAATGCAATGGAATCTAATAATGGAGATAGAAAACAAATATTATACGTCTAATAAAGCATGTTATTAAATCAATTCAAAACAGTCGAATCAAAGCGTCAATGTATGTGCAAATTACGCTTATTCAGTTTGTTATTAGTTTTTTTTTTAAACTTTATTAAAGAGATTTTTAGCCTTAGGCTAGTCATCTCTAAGTTTGTTATTAGATCAAACTTCTGGTTCTGAATCAGACTACAGAGTTCTATCTTGATAGTGCTTTCTGTGTTGCAATTATTTGACAACCGTAATAACATGTTATAACTCTCCAGTCTGGACAGCGTTTTATCCACATCCCTCAGGGCCCGAGAAAAACAACCCACGATACCTGTTAGAGACATCTTGGCGAACCGAGATCTCGACCATTTGAATTTAATTTATGTGTTTTTAAAACGGATAGATCTGAGGATTTAGTAGTTAGTGTCATCTTGTGTTTTCCCAAGTTGTTAGCTACCCATCGGTGTACCCCCATGTTTGTCTTTTTCATCAGAGTGTCGCTAAGTTAGAGATCAAGAGCACATTGCTCTCCAAACCTTGTGTTCACAATCCCTACCCTGCCATCCATTTGTTACAATTTGTTACCCCTAACTTCGAGATAGCCGCGAGTAATCGGCCCCCGCTGTACTAACGTTAGTTTTAAGTAATTTTGAGATCTAATCAATGAATATTGGCTCCGCAAAGCTACAGCAAATTAGCCTGGAAAAATAAACACATTTTTGTTTCGCAAGGCAAAACTCGTAGGCGAATGATATCAAGCGAAAGATTTGAGTTTATGAGATTTAGAATAGAACTCGACAGTGAGCATGCATAAGGGCGTATACGCGATGATCGATTCTCTTCGTCAATTTTCTCCGTTGTTAATAACTCGCTAGATTTAACGTTTCTCGGTGCGTTTGCTGTTGCTTTTGATAGCCAATACATCTTGTTACTACTCTGCATTGAACAAATTCTTGAAAATTGTTTCGCTTAGCAGTAGCAATGCAAAGAGAAAATCGATGAAGAGAATCGATCATCGCGTATTCGCCCTTATGAATGCTCACTGTCGAACTCAAGAAGTTACCCGGAAATTCCACGAGAAAACTCATCCCCTGGAAATCCTGTTAACTTGGTTTGCAGAACGTAGTCCATACGTTTTCTGATTACTCCACCAATCCAAATCGTGCTCCCACAAGCTTCTAATAGTGCTCCGTAATGCTTTTGTGAATCATGATATTTGGCTAGATATTTGGTAATGTTAGACAAAGCAAGCAACCGATCCAGGATGGTGAATTTAATTAATATATTTGGGCTACAAATGGTGAGTCGACAATCTGGAAGGAGTGTTGTCCCAACAGCTCTGGTCCTCACAAGTTCCTACCTCACGCTTCCACGGCCCTACAAACAATTTTAGCTGCCGACAGTAGCTTATACAGCTTATCTGCATCTTAAATTGTTAGTTGGGGGGTCAGCCGATGACAAAGACCGCCAGCAAAAGATGCTGGTAGCGTAGCCTGGGCAATGCCACCACGATAAAACAATGAATCCGGATCGTGGTGATAGCCAAGTGAGGAGGTGCGACCCTCGAGCGTCTGTTCACCATGGAGGTGCGACTCAAACAGCGTCTGTCTCGGAGCGAGCGGCTGAATAAGAAATGTTGTATCACGTCAGCTACAGCCTACCTACGTCGGTAAGGTAGCATACCGAAACCTCACCTTTACTCAGAGAAACGAAGAAAGTGAAAACAACGCACGACCCGGCAACGAAATAAGGACAAGAAATTGAAAATCTGTTCTTGGAATGTCAGAACCTTAAATGAACCTGGACGAGTGGGCCTTTTGGCTCGTGAACTGCAAAAAGTGAATGTGAGCGTAGCTGCTATTCAGAAAGTACGGTGGCCTAAATCTGGAGAACGTGAATTCCGGGCGGTGGATCCCATTGTCAACACTTCCTTCAAATATCATATCTACGACAGCGGTGGCGATAGGACAGAGTAGGGTTCAGGGAAGCAGATGAAGCGTGTTGTGCGGTGGAGACCGATGAAACTTATAATGAGTCCCTAAACACGACGTGAAGATTGTAATCGGAGATGCAAATGCGCAGGTTGGTACAGAGAGCCTACATACCGCAACCAATGATACCGGCCTGAAACTAATAAACTTCGCTGCTGCTAGAGGTTTGGCCATCAGTAGCACCTAATTTGCACACAAGAATATCCGAAAGCACACCTGGAAACATCCAAATGGCGAAACTTGCACTCAGATCTATCACATGTTGGTGGATAACCGGCATTTCTCAGATGTTATCGATGTAACGACTTTCAGGGGGCCTAACATTGACTCAGATCATTATCTTGTCTGCAAAATTGTGCGCGTCTATCGACCGTTACGAACTCAACGAATTAGAGATCGATGCGTTTCAATATCCATCGCTTGTCCCTTGCTGCTGAGTATCGCCAGAAGCTTGATGAGCGGATTATCGAAACCAACGTGAACGAGGACCTCAACAATCTGTTGAACACAATCCACGGAGTGGTACACACAACAGCACAAGAAGTGATAGGTACAGCTCAAAGACGATTGCTAACAGATAAAACAATGGTGGTTGCCAGCTTTTGTAAACAATGACTTCTCTCGTTGATTTATCGAAAGTCATGGCTCTCCCTAGCAAATTGACGTCACCATCCTTGAATTCCTAGAAATCAACGAGAGAATTAATTTGTTATTGTTATTGCTCAGCTCACACCCTGGCCGACTATCGCCCGCCCATCTGTACTTAAACTAGGTGTGAATCTACGGAAATTTTGGTTGTGGCCTATGCTAGACCGTATAGCATAACGACTTTCTTCCACCAGCAGGCCTGTTGCTGCCGTGCACTGGCTTCAGATTTGTAAGAGAATAAAAGAATAGAGAAGAGTGATAGAGTATTATTTGTTGTTTTTTTCTGAAAAGAGAAGATCAAAAACAGCACGCCGACTTGTTGTGCTGCATGAGCTATGTCCGCTTTCATTCCCGCTTCTGCGGGTTACGTCCCTCTTAACGTGCTCACTCACTCAAGTATCCTGGGAACCTCCAGAGATGCAGAGGGCCAACATGAGAAACCTCCCTTCTGAGCGGTTGCTTGACCTGGGCCCAGGTCAAATTCCTATTGGTTTGCTTGATTTCCTTGTTGGAGTTTTGCTGCCATAAGCCCCTGTGCCACGCTTACCTGCAGTGATATTATTTTTATTTTTATATTGTTTTTCGGCTGCCAAAACACTGCCAGCAACAATTTCCATTGGGGATCATTTGATCATGCAGCAAACGTCATTCCCATGTTGCTGGTTTCCTGCACATACGACTTTTCCTAGATACAAGCTTCGTCCAGTATACATTGGCTGTCTCCAACCGGCATGATCCTTTCTGTCTGCTTCCTCTTGCCGGTGCAAGTTTGATTCTTCTTTTCTTGTTCAAACTTCCTCGCTACTTCCCTCCTATTGAACTTCTGGTCGTGTTCCCATTTGTCCTCAGGCAGTTAATATTAGTACATGATAGGAAGAAAGAAATAGAACAAGTTAAGTGTGAGCCGCATGCATTGGTTACTTATTTGGGTCATGGTGTTGTGTTCCCTATTTATTTGCCCCTATTTCGCTCTCAGATCGCAACGTTTAACTCATCCGCTTCCCTCACACTATGATGGTCGGAAAAGAGCACCCATATTTAGTAATATCACGCGAATTGCGATGCAGAAGATATTAATAGTATACTAATCTGGAACTGGTCTAAGACATATAACCCAGTGAGTATTGACACATCACAATGTTGTGATGGAGCACGGACGTGAGATTTACTAGAGTATTAAATGCAAAGTAAAACATTGTCAATCCCCTTATTCTTGGGCAGGGCCTGACGATGTGAATCTGATTTTGATCAGTGAACAGGCCCTATATGGTACATTTTATCACTATGAACCTGTCATTTCTAGCCTATCTGAACTACCCAATAAATGGAAACCACACTCTGTCCTATCTCAAATGCCAATGGTTTAAATGTATCAACATATAAATTAGAAATGACGGTCAATCAAATAAACCAGGTTTCAGAATCGTCCAGTGGGCAGTGCGCTCTACACTCCAAGTTCCCTTTCTTTCAAATTCACCCCAAATTTTATATTTTACCCCTTTGAGTGTTGATTAATCACAATGAAACATTGTGACAGAGCACGGACCTGAGGTTACTAGAGTATTAAATAACCTAGGTCCTATTTAGGATTATATCTGAAAAATCCAAATTTGGCCAACGCCCACCAGAAATCAACGAAAGAAGTTATTGCTTACAAAAGCTGTTACGCCCTAATTTCAGCTCTATCTAGACTTTGAGACATTATTGAATGGAGAGAGTGAAGGAGTATCAAGAAACAGTGTAAACATCGCAGACGACGATCAAGCTGTGGAGCCTCCAACGCTAGACGAGGTTAAAAAGGCAATACGTGAGCTGGAAAACAATAAGGCGTATTCTAATGAAGATAAGGAAGGATGCTAAATGGTTGGATGGTCTCATTTGCCCATTATTCAAAAAAGGACACAGACTAGAGTGCGCCAATTATCGAGGAATAACTTTTCTGAATTCGGCGTACACATTACTGTCACACGTTCTGTTATAACAGATTGAGACCGCTTGAGGAGTCCTTCATCGGTGAACACCAGGCTGGTTTTTGTGAGGGCCGATCAATGACGGATCAAATGTTAACCCTGCGTCAAATCCTTTATAAATTTCGGGAGTACAACTTGCAGGTGCGATTTCGACCTCGTTCGTGACCTTAGATGGATTGAAGCAGAGCGATGCACTTTCAAACTTACTATTCAACATTGCTCTTGAAAGAGCGATTAGGAGAGCTGGTGTGCAGAGTAACGGTACCATCATCACATGCTCCTTGCCTTTGCGGACGACATCGATATCATCGGAATTGACCGTAGAGCAGTGGAAGAGGCCTTTGTGCCTTTTAAGAGGGAGAAGGCGAAGATTTTACTCACGATAAGTTCTACCAAAACGAAGTACATGGCAGCATAGTGGTTTTGGTAGTGAAGTGGTGTTAGATGGTGAACAAATTGAGGTAGCCCCGTAGCTTGCAAACGAAAACGGAATTAAAAGGAAATAAATTAACACACCCAAATCCATTAAGAGGTTCAACAAAATTAAAAGATTGATCGTGTCATGTTCCAAACGAAGTGCTCCTATAACGAAAAACATAAAACCCCCTGTTTTAAAGCAATGAATATAATCTATGATCTACATTTCTAACCCATCCAATCAGACCTACCTCTTCCACGGTCAATCCGAAATCATTCGGCAACGTTTCCACGTACCGGAAGCGACATGGTGTGTTTCCAATTATGTCCTCGTAATCGAGCTTGTAGTACTCGTCGATGTACTCTCCGTAGGTCTTCTCGTCTTCCGGATCGAACAGTGGCTTTTCCTTCTTCAGCGCTTCCGCAAACTTGGAAATTTTCTTGCCTTTCTTTGTCTTCTTGGAACCACTGGCCTCCAGCAGTTCTTCCTCTAGATCTTTCTTATCTTTCTTCTTCTTCTGATTCTCCTCGTAGTCGGCATCCATTACAAAGTCATCGTCCTCGCAGTACGGTCCATCAGCATTCTGTTGCTGTCCATCTGCATCAATCTTTTCGCGATCATAATTCTCAATGCCCATCTCTTCGTCCAAGTCTGGAAACTCCGGCTTCTGGTCACCTTCATCGATCCCATAGTAGTCGTCATCAAACATCCGTTGCATCCGCCGGTCGTGCTCTTCCGGATCGAAATCCGATTCCAATTCCTCCTCGTTCAGTGTCATATTCTCCGTCGCTGCAATTTCCTTCAACTTTTGAATTCTGTCTTTGATTTCCTGCAATTTAATTGCCTTCAACTCTTCTAACTCCCGTTTCTGCTGTTCTTTTTCTCGTTGCTTTCGCTCTTTCAAAACCTGTCTCTGCTCCTTTCTCCTATTGCGCTCAATGCGAACCGATTCTTCTACATTTCTAGGATACCTTTTGATGTACTCCGCATCCGGTTCCTCAAATCTGAAATTATACTGCCTTTCGTATTCCTCCTGCTTCTCGAGTTCCTCCTCATCTTCCGACGTGGCCACTATGTCATCGTAGGATGGTACTTCTCCGGAATTATCAACGAATCTTTTGTTCAGAATGTAATCCTTCAAAAATGCATCCTCCTTGGACAGCGACTTACTGCTCCAGAATTCCTTCAACGGTTGCAGCGGTTTTACCTCCTCCGAAGGAACATCCTTAGCTTTTTTATCCGACAACCAAGACAAGTAATCCGCTTGTTCCCGTTCATTTTCCTCCTTGCTTTTACTCCTCTCCTTTAGTAGTCCACCCTTCTCTTCTTCCTCTGCCTCATCGTCCGTATCAATCTTGCTAAGCGCCTGTCTGATCTCGTTCTTGATCTGCTCCTGCTGCTGCACCAACGAAGGCGACTCCGGTCTCGGTTGCTGCCGTGGATTCTCATCTTCATCCTCGTAGACTCCACCCTTCTCCATAATCACCTTCCTTTCGTAGTCCTTCAGGGTCATCGGTTTCTCCTTTTTCTTTCGCTTCTCCAACGCTACTTCCTCCACCGGTTTAACATTTTCGAAGAACGAGGGTTTTTCCTCGTACTTTGCCAGATCACGCCGCTTCAAGTAAGCCAGCGTTCTGAAAAATTCTTTATCAAAGTCCGGATCGACCACTTCCTCGTCCGTCGTTTCATCCTCGCTGGACGAAGATTCACCCTCTGAGTCCAAGTTTTTCACTGTGAAAAAAGGGATCCGTCATCTCCGTCCTTAATCAAAAAACATCAACTCACATTGCCCCAAAACCTCCTTCTTGCGAAACTCATCGTAGTGTTTGGCGTAACTTTTGTTGGTCTTAAACTCGATTTCATCCTTTTCCTCCTCCTGGTCAGACTCGTGGAACAATGGAATCTTACCCATGGTCTTTCTTTTATCCTGTTGGTGCCGTTTTCCGAGAAAACTACAGATTATTCACAAAACTTTTAAACAAATTACTCAAACGGAGCACATGTTGATGTTTACTAGTGTTATGTTAAAGTAGACTGCCAGCATAAATATCGTATACAAACGTGGCTCGAGGCCGAAACGTCAAAAAATGAGTTACCCATGCAGTTAAATTGGTGAAAGCTCCCGGGAATGAAAGCTTCGGTATCTCATTATGACTGTGCACGCTATTTCAAAACTCCCAAATTAGGGTAGAATCCACCCGGATCGGTCCAAACTGAACCTACCCAACAATATGTCAACATGTATTTACCCAAATCTGGGTGAACGTACCTGCGACAGAAACTGGGTAACGGTTACACAGATGTTGACATTTTTTACAGGGTAAACTTTGCTTTTAATCTAATAGAAATTAGATTATATGACCGCTGCAGAAGCTCTATCAAACATAACCTCACCCGACTAGCTATTCTAGCCCGTTATTGATTGTTGAGGTCGTATTGTCGGAAAAATATTTAACTACGGGATACGACATTAAAATACCCAAAAAAAAAAGGATTTTAAATAAGATCTATAAATTAGGAACAACAACAAACATTCGGCAAACATTGAGAAAAACGTCACAGAATATCTCGATAACCTATAGAATAAGGAGAATGTTCAAAGTCCAGAAACTAACAATATACTTACTATCTATAGCTGCTGGTAGCATGCGTCATGAAAAAAGTTCCATAATATATTATCTGTAATTTTTTTAGCATCCGATTTATATATTTTGAGCACACTCCAAAGGACCTGGGTTCAATCCCAGTCAGCGTCAACGGAATTTCCTAAGGCATACATTCTCTGATCACGCTTTTCGTCGGAAGGTTTCCCAACAAACAATCGCCTTTTGAAGAAATGACTTCTAAATGATTTTATTCAAGCATGCTTAATAATACTTGTACAATTTTTCATAATAACTTCTGTTCAGGCTTTGTTCACACAAATCTGGATAATTTATTCAACCACAACATGGTGTTGTTTAGGATATGTCGAGAAGCTTTTATTCGAATTCCATGAGTTGTAACAGAGCTTATTCGATAATTTTTTTTTTATTATTCAGCGTTTATTGGACATTTTTGCTTCCTTAAACAGCGATGATGTATACGCTTGATTATCATGTGAAGTAAAGTTTATATTAGACACTATTATACATTTATTAAACGATTATTCAACTGCAGGAAAATTAACCCGAAAATAAAGAATGGTAGAGACAGACAGAGTTGTCTTTTCTTTAACGATCTGGTAGGTTTTTATTTCCCCTTTTTTTTTACACGATCCATATCGCTGGTGTAAAAAAAGACCTGCACAGCAAAAAAAGTTGTTGAATATTACATCGAAACTGCTGCAACCAGGTCAATCCATCGGTTGTGTAATATCACATTGTTCGATGTACATCGATTTTGCGAACAAAATTACAGCCATTGATGTAAAATTGTATCTGCTTTTTGCTATTACATCATTATTTCATACATCAGCTTGAATTACGTTGATCGATATTACATTTTTTTTTGCTGTGTGAGCTCGCCTGAGTGCACAATAAAAATAAAACTGTTTTCACATTACCCGGTAAAGTTTCTTTTTCCCGGTAGCAGGTTCCTGTTCAACTGAAAAAGCTGTCAGCTTGTGTCCAAAAAAGGCTGTCACTTCTAAAGCTGCCTTAATATTTTGATAATTATTATAAAAAAATTGTAAACAGAAGAAGTGGACAGTCCATGTTGTGAGTAGAAGTTTTTATTATTGCTAAATCCGTAATTTTGTACTTGAAAACCATGTCGGAAGCGATAGCCGAGACAACTGACAAGGAGTTAGCTGCTAATGTGGAAAATCTATCATTAGAGCAACAGAAAGTAGAAAAACAGGAGCCGAAAAAGAGTAAGTTGGGCTTGTCACAAATTACAATGAATTAATCATTCAAACTTATGTTTTAGTTGATATCATCCTACGTGCAACTGGCAATGCTCCAATACTAAAACAAAAGAAATGGGCCGTCGATCAGGAGAAACCCATCAGCGCGATCATCAAATTCATTGACAAGCATCTGATAAAACTCGAACCCGGAGAAAAATTAGTAAGCTTTTTCGGTTAAGTGAGCCCTCTTTTTTTATTGATACAAACACAATGTTTCGTTTCAGTTCTTGTACATAAATCAAACATTCGCTCCCTCACCGGATCAAATCATCAAGAACTTGTACGACTGCTACGGATCGAATGGGAAATTAGTGCTGCACTACGCCAAAAGTCAAGCTTGGGGATGAATCACGCTTGTTTACGGTAAGATTTAAACTCTATGCTGCTTGTTTGCCGTAAGCTACTTTCAACATTCTCATTCTAAGTCATTTGATGTTAGACATTAATAGTCGCGTCATAAATATACCGGGACAAAAGTTGACAGCTTTCAAGTACGGCTTATCCAATGTTCTTATGAGGAAAGAAATCGCCTTGTATACTAATTTAATCAATCAAACATTATTTCTTTCACAAATGAGTTACGCGTGAAATAAGGAGCTCAATTTATTCAATAACTGTTTTTAATCACGCGATTCTACAACACCTCCAAAATAATTCCCCACAATTAATCACCTCGGATCGATTCAAGGTGATCGGCCGCTTCCTTCGCCACCCGGTGGTACTTGCCGATGGCCGGGCGATAATAGTAAGACTGATAATCGTGTCTCTCAGCCATCTTATCACGAATCTTCGCCTCCAGAGCCAGCATCTGCGACTTCTCGTTCTCCTCATACAGATGGTGTAGCATTTTTTCGTAATCCTGCTGCGGATTGTTTAGCATGTAACGAGCGATGAAGCGAGTAATCGGGTGTTTGTGGTATTCCCAGTGCTTCGGTTGGTAGTCTGTCGGCGTTTCCGTCAGCTGAGCCGGGCCGATAAAAACGTTCGCATAGAACACGACGGCCAACACCGGAATAACGCCGACCATCACGTACATATGGAACATATCCTTGAACTTGTGCCACTGAAACCGGGATGGGGTGATGGTGAACATCTTCGGACCGTGTCCACCGGACATCGAGCGGCTCTGCACAAGTGCTGAAAAAAAGTTTGTTTTGTTATTGTCGTCAACTACCTACTAGTTTTGTTGCATAACACTCGCTTCAGAATAATTTCAATTTATGCTGGTAAATGCAAGCCTAAAAGCACAAACTTCTGATGAAAGATTAACATATAGTCTGACTTACCATTTTTGGCTGCTGTGAGTAGCACCGGATTACGGACCAGGGAATTAAACTGGCCAGAAACCTGAGCGGAACGTGCAAGTGAGCTCCAGATCGCCATTTTCGTCCTCAGATTTTTAGCGAGATCCGATTATGACGTCAATAGACGTCAAACAGAAATGCCATTCAGGGGTGTGTATAGACTTCTCTGCCACCATCAGCGTTGCCAGAATGTTTTATAGCTTATCGGTATCAAAGGTTTTAAAAAATCGGTATTTACTATTTTAATTAATTACATATTTTTGGCGTTTTTGAAAGCGAAAATTTTAACTTTTGGACTATGATCGGAACACTCCGGAAGAAAACTCCGGAGAATGTTTGAATTAGCTTCTGGAGGAAGCTGAAAACAAGAGCCAGCGATAGAAGCTCTCCTGGAGGAAATTTGAGAAAAGTTCTGAGAGAAGTCGGAAAAACATCCGCGGAACTTCCAAGACATAAATTGAGAAACTTCTGGCGAAAATTTAAAGAAAAGTTTCGGAAATCGGAAATAAATTTCAGACATAGCCATTTCCAGGGGAAGCCACAAGAAGCTCGGAAAAACCTTCCTAGAGAAGTAAAAAAAAACAACTGGACAAAATTCCAGAACTAGACGAAAGAATTTTCTGGGAGAAATTCAATTGAACTTCCTGAAGACGCTGGCAGAAACTTCCTAAGATATATTGGAAAAAAAAATCTGAAGGAAGTCGAAAGCCCGAGTGCTAACAGAACAGTCGAAAGAAACAAGGGAAGAAAAAGCTCTTGGGGGATGTTCTAATGATCGAGAAAATTTTCCAAATGGTCATAAAAGATCCCTGCAGACCCCGCAATGCCCCTGAAGTTTTTGGAACATTCCTGAAATGTACGAAATAAGTTAAGCACTCTCACAATTTTCTTGAATTTATTGTAACATCAGCTTTGAAGTTCTCTGATCTTCCCGATTTTTCTAGTTTTTAAAAGTTATCGACACTGCCATCAATAAGCACGGAACTTCCCATAATTTTTTCTCACAATGTGCTTATGTTTGTGTAACTTCCCTTACGTTTCTTAAATTTGCATGAGCCCCTCGGAACAATGCTGAAGTTATCGGCAATTGTCTGAGTTTCTCGGAAGTCATTTGAAATTTCAGCGATTTCCTTGAAATTTATTGATCTTTTCTGATTGTCCTGATGTTCTCGGAGCTTCCTAAAGTTCTCTCAATTCTCCTGAAACTAATGGAACTGTCCTGAAAACCATTAAATTTTCCAAAAGTTCTTTGAACTTGTGAAGTATCCAAAATATTTATGATGTTTCCTTTAGTTCACTGGAGTTCGTTGGACCGGGTTTTAGAATTTTAACAGAAGTTACATTCTTTAATTTATCGAAACTTACTCAAAAGTCTGGACTTTTCTGAAGTTTCAGAACTTTTTAAAAGTTCCTGCAGCTAGTGTGGATCCGCAATCAAAATCCAGAAGCATCCCTGAAGTTCCGGGAAGAATCATTCGAGCGAAGACTGAAGAAGCTTCCAAGGGAAGTCGAAGTATGTTTCCGAGAGAAATCGTAAAAAGAAAATTTCAGGGGAAAGTTGGAAGAAAATCCAGGAAGTTAAATAACGTTTAAAACGTATTTCCCGATTCCTCCGGAATTACCAGAAAGAGCCATCGACTGTTTATAGATTCATGGGTAGCCAAAAACGGTGGGGAAATTGAAACATTAGTCGAGAGAGTATACATAAGACATTTTTGAAAATGATTTTTTTTAGAACTTTAAAGACTCAAAAAATTTGAGATTTTCAAAAAGATACAAGTCGCACACAAAAATTTTGATTTTGATTATTTAAAAAATCGGTATACATCGGTATAACACCTTAAAAATCGGTATCCTGTGGAACCTTATCTGTATATCGGTATCTAGTTCGGAAATCGGTATAAATACCGGTAAACCGGTATATCTGGCAACGCTGGCCACCATATCGATTTTACTATACACTGATGCAAAAGAACGTAAGAATTCCATAAGAATCACTTCTGAATTTTAGCCACAATAAATCAGTATAAATTTGCCATACGAAAATTAATGTTGACAAAAAAATAATAGAACGGAGCAGACTGGCACCAAACCATGGACGTGGAGATTGCGGGGCCTGTATGTTGACCAGTCGTCTTACAACGCTTGAGAAAACGAAATGGTTAAAAGCGTATAAGAGCTACCCTAATAAAAATAACCATAAACGAACGATAACCCAAATCATTGAACTATTCCACAAATGGTTTTGATGATACCCAGAACACGTCGTTAAACAAATTAACCATACAATTTTTATTAGGGTATCTCATGTTAGACATAAATCATTCATAAGTCACGCTTATGAAATTCATATATGTCATTCATAAGTCTAGCCTAGTAGTCTAGCCTAGTAGTTCCATAACCATTTCAGTTAAAGTTTAGCAAGGATTATAAACAATTTTTATCCATTTTCGGTAAGGTGGTTCGTGTTTATGCGGGAACTGGATGTCAAATCTTATGTCATATTAGATTTCACAATCATACCATAGAGGTAACTCTAAGACTAGAAGGTCCCGAAATAAAGTGCTCAACTTTTTGGCTCAGCTCTGGTACTCTCTTCGGTCCCAAGCTAATCGATTCACCCCTCGAAACATAGGAAAAACGAATAACCCCTCATTTCATCTGTCAAACTTTCATAGCCAATCAAAACAAACATTGCGTAGTACTAGAATTTCGACTAGAATGGGATACGTTAATCGTTTGCTTGGGACCAATAGGCTAGTCAAGTAGTGAGCCAATTTAAAATCGTTAGTTTCGTATTGATTGTTGATCATACTAAAGTCCTCCAAGGGGTAAGCATACGCATTTTGAATTGCTCAATAAATGTAATGTATTTAAACATATGGTATTTGTTCGAAACATTTGAGTTTCACTTGAAAGTCTAGAAGACAATAAAAACATATATTAAGCACGTCAGTGTTTTACTTTTTCCCCTCAACTTCAAGTGAATTCAGGCATAACATTTGATAACGGCACAAAAGCATTTGTAAACAAACTTTCTAAGGCCCTTTACACGCGAACCAAAGTACGCCCACGCAAACCAACAACATCATCGGATAGGGGCAACTATCACCTTTCCAAAAGTGTTATTGGTTTGCGTGGACGTACTTTGGTTCGCGTGTAAAGGGCCTTAGAATGTTTGTTTACAAAGGCTTTTGTGCCGTTATCAAATGTTATGCCTGAGTTATTTCAATCCGAAGTGTCAAGTCTTTGGTAATAAAATTAAATAATATAAAATCACAACAAAATCTATTTCCTATAATCGATCTTATTGTATACATATATCATACAATTAAATTTAAAATATTGTTATTATTATAGATCTACAATACATCCCATGTAGTATGAATTTTCAACAATAGAAAAACAATCATTCAAATTTGTCAAATCTCTTATCTTATCCCTTTATGAAGAACTTTGAGTGGGGTGGTTTATTTCCTTTAAATACCGTTATAATTGCTTATCTTTTGACAGATACGCGTATTTCGTCTACTACTTGCAGACTTCATCAGTGCCATATACTGCCAAGTAAGTGGTGTTGAGTACTTGGCACTGATGAAGTCTGCAAGTAGTAGACAAAATACGCGTATCTGTCAACAGGATTTTTAAAGGAATTAAACCAACCCACTCAAAGCTCTTCATAATAGAAAAACAATAAAATGAATGTTAAATGGCTCAAGTTTGTTCGGGAAAAAGTGATTTTTTGTACGCTTAAGATACATAACAACCCCCTTGTTCTATTGTAGATTTCCTCATTTACCATAGATTCTATAGTGGAAACAATAAATTCTATGGTTAATTTATTGTTGTGGACTTTATTTACACTTTATTTTAAGCACAATAAATTTTATTGTATGGTTACAATACATTTAATTATGCCTCTATCGTTCTTTTTTTACGGGAAATCTCCTCAACCACTACAAAGGACCACGTATAAAAATATTCATTTTTCTAAATTTCGATCGTCAGATTATGAAAAAGATTAAATACTGAAGTGGAACTCGGACGAGGTTATTGACTTCGTGGAAAATACCGGACAATTCGTGTTTTATTTGCAATTGATGAGGATTAGGTTGGCTGCAATAAATTAGAAAAGAGTCGAATTCAATTAGACGAATTATCCGTTTGACGTATAAAAAAAAACTTACTTTTTCACCGGACAACCGAAGAACTTCCATGTTCGAAATCGCGGTAAAGTTTGAGATTGACAGAAATAAATTTGCAAATGATTTAATCTTTTCGGCAAGTATTATAAGAATGTGGTATTTTGGCATTTCTGAAATATAATTTTCACAGTACATTCGTCCTTCTACTGTGTTGCGGAATAGCAGCAGTTTACAGTTTCGATCAGCAAAATTTATTTGCAGTTTTCGGTAAATTTCTGTAAATTGCACTTATGATTCTGTCTGCTGTCGGATGCGGAAAGGGGGTCTTCCAACCCACTGACAATGAGACTTGATGATGGTAAGTTATTGCCTGATGTATCTGTGATTTCCAGGGAGAGCAGTCGTTCGATTCCTTGCCGCAAGCAGGACGTCGTGATCTTCTACCAAAACGCCGGTGGAATGAATTCTGATGTTGAATAGTACCGCCTAGCTGTATCGGATCGTTGCTACGATATTATTGTCCTGTGCGAAACGTGGCTCGATTATCGAACGCTTTCCAGTCAAATATTCGGTCCTGACTACGAGGTATTTCGTTGTGATCGGAATCCTAACAACAGCCGTAAATCTACTGGTGGAGGTGTCCTTGTAGCTGTCCGTAGCGGGTTGGAGGCAAAGGCCATCGAGAACGATTCATGGAACAATGTGGAGCACGTTTGGACAGCCATCAATCTGGGTGATCGCACACTATTTCTATGCGCTCTGTACATTCCACCTGATCGAGTCCGCGACAATAAACTCATCGATACTCACTGTCGGTCAGTTTTCACAGTTGTGGAAAGTTCCACTCCAGTTGATGAGATATTCATTTTTGGTGACTTCAATCTGCCAGGCGTTTCGTGGAGTCCATCTCATAGCGGATTCCTGTATCCAGATCCTGATAGCTCTACATTTCACGCAGGAGCTATTAGCCTTCTCGACAACTACAGCGCAGCGACGCTTTCTCAAATTAACCATGTAGTTAACGAAAATGGTCGTAGTTTGGACCTCTGCTTCGTGAGCACACAGGACAGGGCTCTATCAATTTCCTCGGCTCCTTGTGCACTAACTAAGCTAGTTCCACATCACCCTCCTCTAATTGTCACTGTTGAGGACAAACTCGTGCGTGATTTCGGCGACTATACAGCTACGTTTTCTTATGACTTCCGTAAAGCTGACCACCTAGCATTATAGATGTATTGTCTAGCATGGTATGGGAGAACATCCTTGATCCAGATGACGTTGAGGCTGCAGCGCAAACCTTTTCACATGTCTTGGCATATGTCATTGACAGACACGTCCCAAAAAACTCACCACAAAGTGTCTCACCCTCCCTGGCAGACGAGAGAGCTACGTAGGTTGAAGTCAATCAAGAGAGCAGCATTGAGAAGATTTACGAAGTATCGCACGCTTCCTCTGAAACTACATTATGTAAGGCTGAACCACATGTACCAGCGAGTCAGTCGTGAATGCTTTTCAAGTTTCCAACGAGGCATCCAGCGCAAACTTAAGCTTCACCCGAAATCCTTTTGGAACTACGTCAACGAGCAACGCAGGGAATCCGGCCTCCCATCGTCTATGGAATTCAACGGAGAAGTTGCTGCCACTGTTCAGGATATATGCCACCTTTTTTCCGAAAAGTTTGCCAGTGTATTCACTAATGAGACACTAACTGACAACCATATTATCCTGGCTGCCAGGAACATTCCAGTAAACGATCAAACGCTGGGTGCAATTGATGTTAATGCAGAAATACTTTCTAAGGCCGCGACTCTGCTCAAGTCATCCTTCAATCCAGGAGTTCCATCTGTATTTTTGAAGAGACATATTGCCAGCTTGTTAATTCCGCTTCTTCGCCTGTTCTGAATGTCTCTCTGGCAATGGCATATGTGGCATTTTTCCATCTTGCTGGAAATTTGCGCACATGTTTCCCATCCACAAAAAAGGAAGGAAACGAGCTGTGGATAACTATCGAGGAATTACACCGTTAAGTGCCGTTTCGAAGCTATTCGAGCTAGTGATTATGGAACCGTTGCTGTCCCACTGCAAGCAGTATTTGAGTGCTGATCAACATGGGTTTACTGTCGGCCGCTGTACAACTACCAATTTGCTGTGTCTCACATCGTATATAACCGAAAGCATGTCGGATCGGGTTCAAACGGACGTTATTTATTCATACCTATCCGCAGCATTCGACAAGTTGAACCATGCTATTGCGATTGCTAAACTCGGCAGGCTCGGTGTATGTGGTAATCTTCTGAGTTGGTTGATAAGGTTAAAATCATTGGGGCTTCATCCAGCCTGTTGATGTAAAACAACAACAATTGCGGAAATTTGTAAACCAATATATTTTACAAAACGAATCCAGCAAAAAAGTACCGAGTATTGCGTGCAAAACATTCAAAATGATCAAGAACAAAATTGGAAACCCGTCTCTATTTCGATATTTGTTTCTTTATACAGCCCTGCATTCAAAACGTCAGAAAACCTTTTTTGTTTACTTTGTCAGTTTTGACATACAATACACAACTACACACAAACACAAGAAGCTAATAAAACTCGTCAGTCAGCGCAGAGTCAAAACTTGTTTTCATCGCTTCTCGCTTTTACTTTGTGCTGTGCTTAGCTCGGAGTTTAGCCTCTATCATCCACATCCATCGCCTCCGGGCAACCGTCCTCGGCCTCGCAACAACACCCATTCAGTGAGTGGTATCGTTCCGTTCCGTTCGCGTCAAATGGAAATTACGCGTTCGATAGAGAAGACGTTTTGTTTTGTGCTGCTGCTGCTGTTGCTGATTATCCGTCGCGTTCAATAGTGTTCCGGAGTGTATCAAAGAAAAAGAATCTCTACGCTACGGCGGACAAAGTGATTTGGGTTCACCGGATCAAAAATTTCCCGTGGTGAAACTAGATTCTGGTCGAAAAGCAATCTGGTGACTAGAACGCAATAAGTTGGACTTTTCTTGTGAAGTGAATCTTGGCACCTGGTTTACACACTAGGATTGAAGTTTGCAATCTAAGACCGTAGGAAAACCGATATAAGGTGTGTTCGATCTCGTGGAAAGGTATTTTATTATTAATTTATGACCTTCGCCACCTACCTAACTAGTGATGGAGAACGAGAGAGGGAAATTACAGTAAAATATATATAACGAATACTCGACTAACGCAATCGGCTGCTATTAGGTGCCCTCTTTGCTGTCGTATGAATAAGTTACCTAGGGTAGAATGACTAGCTTGACTGATTGGGGGGTGGTTGCTTCCATATAACCGTTTGTAAAGTATTGAGATTCAATTTTAAATTTCATTGTTTCCATCTGTTTTAGCTTTTGATCGTGTGTGAAACGTTGCCAAGAAAAGTGTCGCGAAAAGAGTGGTATATTTTGCATCTTCCTCCTGCTAAGGGAAGGCATGGTGAAAATCTCAAGGGCGTAGCAATTTATTACCAGGGCTAAATAGCTCGTTGACGACGAAAGCGAAAGTGCGTTTCTAGCCCCTCATATTGGAGCTTTGGAGAAGTTTTATCGCAAACGGGCAGGAAGTGGTGAAAATGAATAAATTGCTTATGAAAAGCGCGTTGTAAATTTGCATATCGCATATAAATAAGAAGAAAAAAGTAAAGCAAGTAAAGCCAGTGTTTGTTATGTGATAAGAGTGATAACGACGCGACGTGGCGCACAGCAAATGAATAGTGAATAATTTCACAGTGAAAAGAAGACATTTTTCGGTGATATTTTTGATCACCGTTGTCATCACCAACCAGCCGACCGGTTAGACGGTATAGAGCTATTATAAGCTGCCGCAGTTACTACTTGAATTCGAGGGAACGTCGAGGTGAAACGAGCAGATAGGAAGGAACCACGAAACATAAACAATTTTTCGACATTTGCGCAAATAGACAAGCTCTCAGGAGCACAGACAGGCAGCCACCGTACAATGGAGACGTTTGAGCAGAAAAGCAACATCAATCTGCCAGCAAAATTTCCTGGTGAGTGCAGTTTTCTGTTGTTGTTGTTGTTGTTCCATCTTTGTTCCGAACAGGTTGGGTTCGTATCTGTTTACTGTTTTGTAGGGAATTACCAGCTTGCCAGATGGAGAACGTTGATCGAAGGAAGGAAATAGCGAGAAAAATACAGGAATTATCATATTTATGGCTCAGCTAGGCGAGCAATGCCAAGTTATCGTGTTAATTACGTGAAACAATCAGCAACAGTTGTAAAACAACTTGCAACTTGAAAATTGTTTCGTAGCGTACATATAGGTACACAATTCTTCTACAATAATAATAATAAAATTTATAAATTTTATAACAAATTACGTCACAAAAGTTTTGTGATATAAGTCAAATGAATCATTAAAATTAAATATATATGTTATCAGTATACAGTAAAGACCCGATTTTGCCAACCTCCTTTTAGAAAATATTTTTAATGTTCTACAAAATTCACGCGGATTTTCACTGTCCTTATTGCACCAAAGTATACCTTAAACATCTATATTAAAGATGAATGAGAATGAATTGGAATTGCGACTATGACAAAATCGGGTCATTCTCTGTATTACTAGTTTAAAAAAATCTTAGTTTAACGCAGACATTTAAAGTCTCATCTTGAATATTGTTGGGGAAAATTGCCTACAGTACCGGACATAAGTATTTTATCTTCGCTGTAAACATTTCAAAGAGCTTTCGGATGGCCATGAAATCTTGGTATAATTTTGAGCGAAATCGGTTAAATCTGTAAGAATTTTAAGCATTCTTAACAAAATGCTTCTTTCTGGAGTAGTCTATTTAAAAATTCAATTTCCTGGAGTACAATGAGCAAATTTTAAGCATATTAGGTTCATTGTACTCCTGGATATTTCATTTAAAAAAGACTACTCTAGAAGGAAGCGTTTTGCTGAAAATGCTAGAACGATTACGCTCAAAATTGTACCGATGTATCTCAAATACCAGCAGCCAAGATTTCAGAATATTTCCAGGACATCCGAAACAATTACAGCTCTTTGAACAATTTAGCAGCGAAAATAATTCTCTAGAATTATCTTGGGTTTTTCTCTGTCATTTCTTTCAACATTTCTCCATTACACTTTAGAAATTCTGTGCAGCTCACTCTTGATCAACGTGGACCTCCTTGAAAATCACTTTACCATTCTTGTTGAATTGTCAACAGTTCTTGTAGGAATTCCTTAGGAATTATCCTTGGAATTCCTTTAGAACAATTCTCAGAATTCCCATTTTGTTCTTCTCGGAAATCTTTAGTAATCGTTCAAGAAATTTCTTGATTTTTGCTTATGAAACTGATTTTTTTTTGGGATTCTTCTTAGAATTACATAAAGACTGGAACTCGCAAAAATTGGTCGACAAAAAATCGTTTCTTTCAGTCAAAATTCATATCACTAAAATCTTCTTATTTTGCTTTTGGTAGTTCAATTCATTTATTTAAAGGAAAAAATGTTCGTTTATTCTTTTAGTTTGCCAAATCTGAACTACCGTGCCTTCTGCTTAACCCCTTCCATTAAATTTTGCACAGTGTTCTCATCGACCTTATTCGCCGCCGAACGCCAGTTAGATTTAAACTACTGCTCGTTTTCCATGGATTTATTAGTTTTTTTTTTTTTGAGATTCCGTTTGACCAAGGCCCAATACCGTTTGATAGGGCGGAGTTCTGGGCTGTTGGGAGGGTTGTGGTCTTTGGGTACCACAACCACGTTGTTCGCATCGTACCACTCGATTGCCTTTTTCCCATGGTGGCAACTCGCCAAGTCCGGCCAGAACAGCACAGGTATATTAAGTTGCTTTATGAATGGTAGCAGCCGCTTTTCCAGGCACTCCTGGACGTAGATCTCTTGATTGATAGTTCCCGTAGTATGAAAATGCCGCTTTTTAGACCACACGTGCATATGGCCGGCCAGACGAGATATTTTTTCGGGAACTTCGATAGTTTGATGGTTTTGAAAATTTCAGCCTCCTTCCCTTTTCCTGGTGCGATATAAAACTCCTGTCCCGGAAGCTGCTTGAAATCCGCCCTCATGTGAGGTTTCGTCGTCCATGACGACACAGTCGCACTTTGTGAGCAGATTCGTATACAGCTTTCGGGACCGCTGCTTTGTCGACGTGTTTTGTTTGTAATCTCGGTTCGCCACCTTCACCTTCTGAAACGTTGACAACCCGGTTCGTTTCTTGGCCCGCTGCATAGTAGTATGGGAGACATTGAGCTTGCCAGCGACGTCCCGGATGGAGAGGTTAGGATCCCGCTTATATTTCACCGCCACCTTTTTCGTCGTCGGTGCCACGTCCGGATTGCGATTGCCGCCGCTTCCAGGCGACAGACGCTCCCCGAAAACTTGTAAAACGTTTGTCACAGTCGATTTGGTCACATCCAGCATTTTTGCCAACTTGGCGTGTGAGAACATCGGATTCTCTTGCTGCGCGAGCAAAATTTTGACACGCTGCTCCTCTTGCTTGGTCGTCATTTTGAAAACTGGAGAGCAAACGGTGAAAACTCATCATAGCAAGGGTTCAGGTTCTATTTTTATGCATTTTTAACAGAAATACACCAATTTGAATTTAACCAATTTTTGCGTGTTCCAGACTTTATAATGTTTTCTCGTTATTCCCTTGAAATTTTTTTCAAGATTCCCTTGCAATTATCCTTAAAAGTCCTTAGACCTTACCTGAAGCTCTTCGCACAATCCCCATATAATTCTTCTCAGAATTATCTTAAAATTCTACTCAATACTAACATAGAATTCTCAGAGCTCGCTAGAAATCCTCCTCGCAATTTGCTTGGAATTCTGCTTAGCTTAGACTGACTGCACATATCAATGGTTAGTTCGCAATTCGGTTGGAGTTCTTCTCAAAATTACCACGAAATTCCCTAGAAATCGATTTTTTTCTTCTTTGGAATTATCCCTTCAATTTCCTTTTTCTTCAAATTCCTTCAGAATTTTCATCAAATTCCAGGTTGGTTTGCTGTGTTTTATGTCGTAAAACTTCCAGAAAAATTAAACGAATAGAAGTCAAGAAAACAAAAGGGGTGGGGTGTGCAGGATACATGAGTGATTGAGAAATGATGAAGTATTTGATTTTGATACCGTTTTCATTCTTACCTTTATCGCAAGGAACCGATTCTAAAAGTAAGGTCTCTTTATTTATACCCTTCGAAGGGTGCGAGCACGCGCCAAAGGCTCGCTTCTTTGTCAGTCAAAATCGGAGTTCTCTTCTCGGTGACAAAATCAAGCAATGTCTCAACCACTTCAAACTAGAGAACAACGAATTCAAGATTGAAGATCACATAGAAGACTAGCCCATTTTTCCTTGTTTCAAGATCATCTTCGGTGGAATGCAACTATGTAGAGTCTTGTTACTATTATTACGGTATAAAACGTAAAAGGACTAAGATGTGTTAGATGTTGAAGTAGGACTTGTCACCGAACATAGATCTTACACCGTAACGCAAGCACGCTTATCTCAAAAATAGAGCGGTACCGAACAATACGTGACGTGCCCTAACAGTATATTTTATGCTTTAATTGAAGAGACCATAAGAATGTCTAATATTGTAAACAAAAAATCTGTGTCCTCGAAAGTCGTGTTGCACAGTGTAATTCTCATGATAATTCCCTTAAATTCATTTTCTTAATTATCTTTCAAAGTTATCGTTTGGGATGTATCTTCGGAATTTCCTAAAAATTTCTTTGGCAATCATCTGGTGCTCAGTGATAGACTTGATCCTCACAAAAACCTTTGTCAAAATCTTATTCATTTTTTTCGTCAATGACAAAGATTCACCTGGTAACACAAAGTGTAATTTCGTGCATTCTGAGCCACATTATTCTTATCTAACCAGTTCAGGACGTGGATGCTTGTTCACTTTAACGGCTCCGTGTAATTGTTTTCCTCAAGTCGTTTACTTTCGTTTCAATAATAAAAAAAATCTGCACATGTTCGTCACTAACAATTGACATGGTTTGCCTTGACGATGACTATTAGCTCAAATGAGTGACCAAAATAGAATTTTGAATATCGCCGTGTATTGTTGAGATTTTGCAGCACTGGTCCTAGCATTTATCTTCTGAATTCCTTTCAAAACAACGTATTTTGACACCACAAGGCAGCCTCGTTCACTGGGGATTAGAAATATTCAGGCGGAGAGAATGTTTTGAGCCAAATAAAGTGTCAAAATTTGAGCCAATCGAACATTCCCATTAGAGTGTTGTCGAGGATTTCTTACTCTTACTAGATTATATTTGAGAGTATTGCAATCAATCAGAAATTCAATCACCCTTGTGTTTCGTGTGCTTCTCAAATTCAACTAGTTTTTGGAATCGAAAACAATATTCTAACTCTATAGGCTATTTTTATGCACCACCAATGTAGAGTGCGCTAGGCGATTTTGAGAGGAAACGTCAACCAAACCGTTGGTTTACAACAAAATTACAATTTGTATATCTTAAATTAACGCATATTGTTATGCGTATGTTGCATATTTCCATCGGTAGGGGTCTTATTTTATCATTGTTTACATAATTGAACGGATTTACAGCTCAAATAACACCACATTAAAAATCCGGATCACTGCAAAATCGATACAGAAAACAAAATATTCCATGTGGATGATGATTACAAGCACCTGCGATGGATAAATTAATCAGAAAAGGTAAAATCATTTTCCTCTTCCTATGCTTCACGGCGAAAATTTCAGCCCTCATCACTCTTCTGATGGTTCTCTTATTCACCACCAGAGGCTGAAACGATCGCTTAGTTTCTATTGGATTCGCCTATTGATTAATTGATCTTAGTTGGTTAATTATTGGCACCAAGAAATGTACAAAATATTGCGATGCAATCAATTTTTTTCCACGTAAATCGAATAAAAAATAAAAGTCATGTGAAATGCTAGCTTCTAGCAAGGGCTGCAAGATCCTTGATTTGTTTTCCGTCGATCTTGTTTTCCGTGCTGAGCACCAATGCTACCGACGCACAGT